GGACTTCTTAGCTGGGTGAGTGGAGGCTTATGGAGTTTGGAGGAAGAATGGGCTGCGGCCGGGCGGGCGGCCCCGAGGTGTCCTGTGGGCAGGGGGCGTGCGGAGCCGGCCCGGCCGGCCGAGGCTGGGGGCCGGCGCAGGTGGCGGGCCCGAGCTCACTCCGACGCGGAGTTGGTGGCTGTCGTGGGTTAGGAAGGTGACAGCGATGGACAAGTGCGTGAGGAGCAAACTAGTTCACCTTCCTGACCATAACACTTCAGGGCGTAATGGCGAAGGGTGGGTGATGGTGGAGATGGCAGAGATCGGAACCCCATACCTTCCGCCGTCTGTTATTGGTGTTTTCATGTGCCAGGTCAGTGAGTCCACCTCTTTTTGGTGAGGAACTACAATTGAGAAATAAGCCTGAATGAAGAGGAGACTGAATTCTGCGAGTTAATTGGATTAGGAATGGTCGTGTATTAAAGGAATGGATGGAAATAAGTAATATTTATTAGAAGTATTTGTTCGGGACGTGTCAGTTTTCTTTCCATGGTATGCATGCCAGGGTGCCTCTTCAACAGTTAACCTTGGAGAGTGGTGATATGGGATTAGTATATTTACCCGAATCAGATTTGCTTCTCTGATTATATCCTAATTATGTTGAAATTTACGTTCCTTGTGTGCACTCCGTTGAGGCAGTGGTTGGTGTGGGGCTGAACATGGCAGTGTGCAAAGAGCAACAGGCCCGGGATTTTAAAATGCTACAAAGGTTCATTCATTCGTTCAACATATTTTGATCAGTAGTTCCTGTTGCTGGATCACACGTCATTGTCTTGTGGACAACTGAAGAGTTGATGGCATTATTTAATTTTAAGTAGTTTTTTGAAAGTGTTTGATATACCTTTTCATAAAGGCATTTATTGGATGAGCCGACTTGGACTTGCCTGGACTTAGGAGCAGACCAGTTTTAGAATGTTATTTAGACGTGTAAAAATTACAGAAGAAATAACCACAAGCTACTGGAGAGAGATATCTTGTATCTTATTTTTTCATTCTGTTAAAATCCGGTGGAAGTTTATTTATTTTAATGTTTACAGTACCCAGTTTCTTTGCTTGCTTTAAGCACACCTGTTAATGGAAATTAAGGTAAATATATATATCTATATAGATATATATAAAATACACACACGAGGAAGTGATTATTTGCAATACCCAAATACTCTTTACTTTTACAAAAGACTTGCCATATGTTGAAGTACTCCCCCAGAGAAAAGAAAATATACATAGAGTCCTGATTCTTCCTGTAACTAACTACAGTCTGTGACATTTTGGAGCATGATCAACCTTTCTGTGCTTCAGTTTTCTCATCTGTAATATTAGGAAAACATCTCTCCTAGGGTTGGCTGTTGTGAGCTTAAAGGGAGTTAATAGTTATGAAATTGCTTTAAACAGATTGAAAGGGTTATGTTTCTGTGGAGTAGTAACAGCTCCCTCTGTGTTCCTGTAATGCCTTGTCTGTACATCTCTCATGACGCTTACACTTTCTACCTTGTATTGTAGGTATTTAAGTACCTGTTTTATCTCCTTTTGAGAGCAGGATAGGCCCTTCTCTGATTTTATCTTTACGTTTAAGGTACCAGGTTGGGGAGAGTGAGTGTGTGTATGATATTGACACTGAAATTTTTTGTTGAATGAATAAATATAGGATTCTAATTAGAAAAATCTATTCACATTACAACTTATCAAAGTACACCTGTTATCTGCTGTGACATATCTCAATAGCTGTGATTCTCTCCATGGCCTCTAGAGGAATATATATTTTTAACTGGATGTATTGTTGGATTTAAAAAATACAGTGAAAGTTACTTGTTTGGCCTGTCCTCTTAATTTTTTAAAAAGCCATGAAATGCTGGAAATTATCTTATGTTTCTTTGAATTTGAGTAAAAGTTTGTCTCAAGGTTCAGCAAGTTTGGATTAGTCAAGTTTTGGGGTTTTTTTTGGCAGCTGGCCAGTGCTGGGATCTGAACCCTTGACCTCGGTGTTAGAACACTTCCCTGTAACGAACTGAGCTAATTAATAATAAAGTTTTTAAAAGCATTTAAAAAAAATTTTTTTTATGAAGTGCTAAGATTTTTTCCTGCCATTGCTATCTGCTGTAGAAAGGAAAGGCCTTTGGATAGATCAGGGATATATGCAAGTGAATGTCAGGCTATTTTTTACGCAGTTTTTTGTGTGTTTGTTTTTATTGTTCAGTTTTAATTGCATTTAGTGATCTGTCTTAGTAATAATTTCAAATTCTCATTGATGACTGGGAGTTATAGAACTCCCACATCCTTAGGTACTTCTATTCTTCAGATATCGTATTTTACTGGAATATGATATAAAGCAAGTAGTAAAGGTTGATCAAGATTTATCATGTACAGCCTTATTTGTAGATTAGAGATTCATGTATATTCATCCACTTGTTCAGCCAATGTGAGGTGCCTTTTATGATCAGGGCACATTACTAAACACTATAAAGCTGAAAATCATAGTCAAGAAGGTCAACTACTGTATATGCACAAATAACACAGTCCTTTTCAGGTTTGAGGATACAAAAAGTACATTTAGATGGTTAAGAAAATTTTTGTTTCTTTTTTTATTAGGACTTCTTAGGAATATTAGGAGTATTGAAAAACTAGGAAATACTATAATGTAACAACGACTGTAGAGTATCTGTTTTTTTATTTTGGTATTCTTGTGGTGTTTTTCCTTGAACATTTATACTGTTCTTCTACCATATTTTTACCCCAGGAGCTGTGTGGTCAAAATATAACTTGGATAGTCTTCACATACAGCCTATTCCACCCTCCTGCCCCTTTTGCATTTAAAAGTCTGAGACTACAAAACACCGAGTATTCCTGTGGAGTTCTTCAGACAGTTTGCTTTTTCCATGTGTGATGCTGTTACTTTTATTTAGCAGTGATCTCAAAAACAAATTAAATTGGTTAAAATAAAATGCTACTAATTTATGGAATTATAGAATGTAGAGTCACATAGATTATCTAATTTTACTTATTTTACTTTGAATAAACTAAGGGTCACAAATGAAGTGATTGGCCTAAATTGTTACAGTTGGGCAGTAGCAGAATCCGAGTCTTTTGACGTATAGTATACTGCTCATTCCGTTA